TAAATAAATAAATAGTATTTGGGGAAAATGTGTTCCAAATCTAAGAAAATGAAGGACATAACATTTGATACTGTTCCAGCTTCCAGCAGGCCTGAGGGTTACTCTGGGTGAAATTGAGTGCTATTGCATCATGCAGTAAATGCCGCTTGAATCTGTTCTTCTTGGTGGCCTATTGCGGAGCTGGCTGGGCCTGAATTAACTAACGCACACAACATAATCAGAAGAAAAGAGGCCACAACTTTGATCAAAGCAGCAGTCGTCCTGGCCAAGCACTGGGTTGGATTCACCTCATTGGGGGATTCGAATGAAAAGAGGCCACAACTTTGATCAAAGCAGCCGTCGTCCTGGCCAAGCATTGGGTTGGATCCACCTCATCGGGGGATTCGAATGCCTCCCGATGCAATCTACTGTCTCCTTGGGAGACCACGCGGTTGTAAGCCACCCTGTGTCTCCTTGAGAGACCTCTGGGGTGGCAGTTTCCTCGGGAGGCCACGCGGATATAAGCCATCCTGTGGCTCCCCTGCCTCCTAGGGTGAAGGCAAATCGCTCTCCCCTGAGCTGGCTCCCCTGCCTCCTAGGGTGGAGGCAAATCGCTCTCCCCTGAGCTGAGGCAGATCCAAGCCCTCTGCGCAGGTTCCCACGTGGGGATTTCTCTGTCACCCAGACGTGCAGGTCACTGCCTGCAAGCCAAAACTAGCAAGCCCAACAAAGTACTGTAACAACTAAATCAACATGTGAGCATAGGAAGGTAATGCAACCAACTAGGGTGGGAGGGCAGGGGGTTTTACACTCCGGTGAACAGAGGCTCCCTGCCTCGGCTCCCCCTTCTTTAAACTGTGCCAGTGGACTCAACTGGAAACCCCGTCGTGCAGGTCACTGCCTGCAAGCCAAAACTAGCAAGCCCAACAAAGTACTGTAACAACTAAATCAACATGTGAGCATAGGAAGGTAATGCAACCAACTAGGGTGGGAGGGCAGGGGGTTTTACACTCCGGTGAACAGAGGCTCCCTGCCTCGGCTCCCCCTTCTTTAAACTGTGCCAGTGGACTCAACTGGAAACCCCATCCCTCAGGTTCGCTGGCAAGCAGCCCCACACCTGTTGCCCTACACCGGCCAATCCCTGTAGGGGGTGGTGCTATCAAGCTAGGTGCGGGCCATTCCAGGCCCCTTTGCCACTCTCCATGTGGTGGCCACTATCTTGTCTCCCGGCTGGCACCGGTAGGACTCAGCATCCACTCTGGCCTCAACGTGGCACCGGGTAAATCCATGTCCCAACCTTCTGGAACATCTCAAGGCACTGTACAGACTCGGTGTCCCTGAGGCCAGGGTTTTCCCTGCTTGTTTTTGCAACTTCTTGCTGGACGAAAAGATATGTGATCTTGAAAGCTTTCAGACTTTTTGATTCCTTTGTTATTGTTCTGATATCTCAGCAAGAAGGTTGGAGTAGTTTTTTAAGACCAACAAAACCATCTCTGATTGTGGCCTTTAAATCTTTCAAAGTCTTGATTTTAAAAAGAAATCACATACTGTAGCTGCTTTTTCAGAAATTTGTTTGAATTGACTTTCTGTATCTGTGTGTGCCTTTGCCAGAGAAGTAGGTTTATTTTAAAGTAAGTCGTCTACCTCATGCGAGTTGGAGTCGACAGGTGGAGTGACGGATGTCTTCGTTTCACTTTTCTCTTGCTGTTGCTTCAGTGGCTGATGGCTTGATTGCACTTCAGAGCAGGAAGGCAGTAATTCACAAAGCTCTTGACAAGTGGGATGTAGGAATGAACTGCCTGATTTCACCTGTGAAAACTCTAGCTCCTTGTTAACATTTTTATGCCATGTTTGACACGTAATTCACATCCAATTTAAACCGTATAGAAGGGCATGGTAATAGAGCTATAAATATACACCCAATGACAAGAGCTCATATTTAGATGTTTAAAATAGGTGATGATACACTCTTCATACTCATAGTTCATAAATCATGATCAGGTTTTACCACTGAGTGGGGAAAAAGTACATGGATATTTTGTGTTCTCCAAAAGGAAAAAAGTGGTCTGAACAACCACCAAGAGATAAATTAAGAGCTAATTAATTAAAAGAAGCTAGGCAAAGCTAAAACATTGAATGAAACCTTAACTCTTATGATTAAATGTTTTGGAAACTGGAAAAATCCAGTTTTCATGGGCAACATTAAAGAGCAAGGAAAAAAGAGCCAGAGGACAAGAAAGTACAGTAGGAATGTTGAAGAATATTATTTTGCCTGAATAACGGATCTACCTCCTGTTTCTTAGATTTGGAACACAGTTATCCTTAAATCAGTGACAATTGGAAGGCAGGCAGGTGCACTGGACTAACCTGTATCTTTAAATGTTCTCCAGTAACTCTGGAGGCAACAGGTACTGAAAATAAGAGTACTGAAAACTCTACAGAATGCCACTTGCATTTTCTCTGCTTGCTCTCCCCTCTTTCCTGGTTGTCTGCTAGAAATAGGCATGTGTTAGGAGATACCTCCAAGGATACTTTGCCCAGCGTGGTCCTCAGACTCGAAGTGATTCTGGCCAGACAGCCAAGGGGACAGGAAATGGAGCTGTTCCTGAAGTCAGGACAAGTCTGGATATGACACACAGATCTGGCACAGCTAAACTTTGATAGATGTTTGAAGTAATACATCAGCTACTCAGTCATACTTTGGAAGTAAGATATGAAGCTGCCTTCATTTAATGTAGTTAAGCTGTTGAGCATTTAACTTTTTACTTGTCTTTTTCTTATTTGAGATCCCTTCAGGCCTTTTTATACCCAGCATGGCTGTAGGGGCCATAGCTGGTAGAATAGTCGGAATAGGAGTGGAGCAATTGGCCTACCATCATCATGACTGGATCATCTTCAGGAACTGGTGTAGACCAGGAGCCGATTGTGTTACCCCAGGACTTTATGCCATGGTGGGAGCTGCAGCCTGTTTAGGTACGATGTGTAATTTTCATTGTTACATGACACATGATGCTAAAACGCATCGCTAGTTTTTACATTCCTCATTTGTGAATATAGTTGTTGTGGCTTATAGAGTTGCTTTATGAGGTTGCATTCATAAACTGGATTCTCTTGATGATTTTGTCATGTCAGAGAAGTTTTACCATTTCATAGTATTTGTCCTTTTGTTCAGGAGTAGAGATGGGAGTATTCGTATACAAATATCCCTGCACAGGTGGCAATAACAAGGGTCCAGCCCCATGGGGCTGGATGGTCCACTCACTGATCTGTCGCTGCCGTGGGCACTGCAATCCTTCCGTGGACTCCGGAGCTTGCGATTGGCTCACCACTCCTGGGAGGAGGCGGGACAACAAGCCTCCCTGCCAGTTCAAAGAGTCGCTTGCCAATTGTGAGCTCTGAAGTCATTGGAAGGATTGCGGTGCCCGCAACAGCGATGGATCAGCGAATGGACCATCTGGCCCATGTGGCTGGACCCTCATTATCAACACCTGTGCGGGGATATTCCTATACAAATACCCCCATCTCTATTCAGGAGTTTAAAATACATACTTTCACCTAGCAGGGGAGAAACCTTTAACCTTTGCTTGATTCTTTCTGTCTTCGTAAATGTATTTAGTATTTAATTTCATTGTTCGCACTAGTGAAATGGTAAAATTGGACATTTTATCCCTTATGACTGCAAGAGCTTGCAGTTCAAAGAATAACAGTCAAGCTGAACGTTGCATTCCGATCTTTGTTTTCAGTTTGGATACTTTGCTTGCTCCAAATTATTAGCTTAAATTACTTTTCCATGCCTACAAGACCAGGGTCAAGCTAGACAATACATTTAGCACGTTTTTCAAAGTGGTGTTCCCATAAGTGATGAATGATGTCAAATTTTTATTTTTCTCACCAACATTTCTTCAGTATGCTATCTTTTCTGATTGGTCACAGAAATAATTTGTGAAGATCTGCAAGTCTGATTTCTGATGGATGCATTTCTGCGGAAATCTCATGGGGGAGGGGACCAGGTTAATTGCAGGGATTGGGGTTATTGTTTGTTTGCAGATTGCCATTGCTGTCTCGTTTGATCTTTAGTGGCTTATCTTTCCGTATCATTTAATTTTTAAAATTTGAGCCTAATTATTATTAAGAATAATGACATGTTAAAACTTGTCCAGATCTGTTCTTATCCCTGAAATTTCTCACCTGAGCAAGGACACTAACTTGAAGAGAGTGGATCAATCCCCATGACCCAAAAAACCAAACAAAACCAAACAAAAAACAAAAAAACAAAAACCAATGGTTGCTACTTATATACCAATCCATAGTGCTTAAAGCAGGCTACACACTGCCCCCCTCCCGGCAAGCTGGGTACTCATTTTACTAACCTTATAAGGACAGAAGGCTGAGTTAACCTTGAGCCGGCTAACTGGGATTGAACCCTGGGTTGTGAGCTCAGTTTTGGCTGCAGTAGAGCAGTTCACCCACTGTGCCATGAGGTTATTAGTCATAATAACCATTATGACTATTCTTGTTGTGATTCTCAGGTAAGCCTATTGTTTTGACAATCATTAATGGATCAAAATGACCTAGCTGCAAACCTTTGGAAAACCAAGATATATGGCTCATGTGTAATCAAGTAACAAGCAATATAGAATTACTTGTATAGGATCTGCCACCAGGATGGACAACAAGGGCAAGTGGCCAGATCCTATACAAGTAAAGTATGTTTAATTTACTTGTATAGTGGGGGGAAAGTGCAAAAAGCAACTTTTTCAAGCTACACAGCTAATTGGAAACCTTTCTCTGTCTTCACAGGTGGCGTTACCAGGATGACTGTCTCTCTCGTTGTGATCATGTTTGAGTTGACAGGAGGACTAGAGTATATTGTGCCTCTCATGGCAGCAGCTGTAACTAGCAAATGGGTAGCTGATGCCTTTGGTAAAGAAGGAATCTATGAGGCACATATCCATTTGAATGGCTATCCATTTCTGGATGTGAAGGATGAATTCACTCACCGAACATTAGCTACTGATGTTATGAGGCCTAGACGTGGAGAGGCACCCCTCTCGGTCCTGACCCAAGACAGTATGACCGTAGAAGATGTGGAGACATTAATTAAGGAAACAGATTACAATGGCTTTCCAGTAGTTGTTTCTAAAGACTCTGAGCGGCTTATTGGCTTTGCACAGAGACGGGAGTTGATTCTTGCTATAAGTGAGTAATGAGTTTACATCTCCATCCTTACTCTGCAGGCATATGGTTACTATTGCACATGGCACATAAGAAAAAATGAACGAGAAGTGAATGGTGTGAAAGAGTGTTCAAAAGCTTTTAAAGAAAAGATCCCATGCTAAGGTCATTCCATGTCCCCTTTTATCTCTTTAATTATTTTTAAAAAGAGAATGATTAATTATTTCATATCAAGCAAAAACAAAAGAATTTTAAAAAGAAGACAAAAATATGAGCTTTCACGTTGTTTTAATGTGAGCTTTCGTGGACAAGTCCACTTCTTCAGACATAATTATTTCATGAATAACCACACTACATGGTTATTATTTGTTGTAATAAGCAATATGTTGTGATATATTGCATAAACAGCATTGATGAAAGAGAAATGTAACATCGATTTATATATGTTTCTTTCCTTCTACCTTCTATTTTTCCCCTGTTCACATGGACAGCTTTCCCTAGTTCAAGTCAGCCAAACCGTTTACAGCAAGATTAATATGAGCTGCAGCAAATGTGTACACAAAAAAATGGTGGCGAACACACTGCAGTTGCGAAACAGGACACATTTATCACAAGGAGACAGGACAAAAGTTAATAATGTTTCTGAAAACAGCAATAAATCCATAACATATGGCCTTGAAGGCTGGTCAGAAGATGATGGCTCTTTGGATTTGGCAATTTTAAATCAACTGATGTAAAAAAAGAGAGCTGTTTTACAAGAAAAATAGTACAGCGGAAATGTGCTGGAAATGGTTTGTTTTGGATATGAGAAGTTAGAGATGGGTTTCTGCTCCATGACTGATGGGAGAGAGCTCCCAAAATAAAGGCATTTAACTGAAGGCCTCAAGATCAGTAGGAACCTAAATCAATCAAGAAGAAAAATTGTAAGCATTAGTTAGGATTTATTTTGAACACGAGATATTTTTAGAGTGTCTCTCAGCGTTCTTGAGCTTTCATCCTGTATATACTGGAAATGGAAGAAAAAGGAAAGAGAGGGTAAAGGTCATCAGCCTCTGTGGGCACACCCTTCAGCAATAATTGTTCAGAGGATTGCTACGCACATATTCGAGTGAGAAGGTCATAATAATAGCTGTTCAGACTAGCCATAATATATACTTCAAAACACAGTTTAATGAAGAGGACTTTTTAGAAGCCAAACAAGCACTGTTACCAAAACTAATAATTCCACTTACCCCTTCGCAAGGACTTTAAAAAAAAAAACAGTTTTCAAAACTAACAACAAGCATGAAGTTGTAGTTTAGAGATGATTATCAAACCATCATTTGGCTACATGACTTGATCTTTAGAGTTGTGCATGAATTCTTGCATCACTCTTTCTTTATTCCATTACTTCTGATAAGTTATAATTTGCTGTTTTGTCCATACTAGAAAAGCTGTGGCATATGCATACTATAGCTTGCTTCTAAAGCAGAATAGGAAATGATGACTTGAAGTAGGCTTCCAGTTTTGATTTGGAAACAAACTATGGTTTTTCCAGTTTAGGCCCCACAACAGACAGTCCTGTCACACACTTCAGTTTCCTACTTCACTTCACAAACGCAGGAACAGGTGATGCCTTTATAGACTACTAAAGAAATCAAAGAATCTGATCGCTTTTGTGGATCAGGGCCCACTTCATCAGGCTTGGATCAGTATCTTGTCATTAGTAGAGTCCCCAAAGTTCATGGCAGATGGATTTTGCTGGGCATTTTTCTTAGATGTAAGCAAGGAAAGACGAAGGCTGTACTGAAGCTGCGGTTTTACAGTTACAGCTGAGGAAGCTGTTGATAGGATACCACTTAACAGTTCTTCAAACCAAGTAGTGCAGGCATTAAGCGTATACTTCCCCATTTGACCTTCCTTTGAAACTACAGCTTTCTGCTTGGCTGGGAAAAAGGGGAACACTAAAAATCCAGAGATCCCCATCTGGGATTTTGGATGAAAATTGAGTAAACCCACTAGGTTTAGCCAACTGGGGTCAAATTAATATTACCTAGCAATTGCAGTCCTGCTCTGCTGATGCTGAGAGTCCACATGCCTTCTTATTGGTTCCTGATTCAACTATCATATGTTGAACCAGGAAGTGAAAGAAGCAATTGGAATATGTGACAGGATGAGAGAGAGAGAAGCTTGCAGTGGTTTAGCTGTTGCACCTAAAACACACTTTATACAAGTCAGAAACTTATGTTAACACATAAAACCCCTAGAAACTTGGACAATGTACCGCAAATGACCTTGTAATGGGCTGCTTTGGTTGCCCTTCCCAGCAGGCTATAGCCCCTAACAGGTTTTAGCAGTGGTCGCAGTCCAGCGTCCAGTGGTGCTGAATGACCCCAAATGACCTTGTAATGGGCTTTCCAGCAGGCTATAGCCCCTAACAGGTTTTGGCTTTGGTCGCAGTCCAGTGTCCAGTGGTGCTGAATGAAGGGTGGTCTTATAGACCAGATGGGTGGGGTACAAATCAAATCAAATCAAATCAAAAATAAATAAATAAATAAATAAATAAATAAATAAATAAATAAATAAATAAATAAATAAAGCACCAGTCCCAAGAAAATGGCTTTGCCTCCACCACCATTTTGATCTGCTCACAGTGTAGTGAGGTATGGAATGATATCAAATGGCCTAAGGTGCAACCTGGATGAGCAGCAGGAAGACATAACACTGTATTGCATTCTAGGAAGATTAAAATGGCAGATGTGAGTGACCCGCACCTGGTGCCCACATTACAAACCCAGGCATTTGTCAGAGTATGTTGTGTCCCAGGCCAGTACTGTGTTACAGTACCAAGACTGATATATTTTTCTACAACTTATAGCCATTCATAGGACCATTTGGATTACAACTTTTTCCTCTCTAAAAATAATGTGCATCTTCATTTGCTTGTGCATATGTTGCTTTATTTCTCTGCCACACAGAAAATGCAAGACAGCGCCAGGATGGTGTAGTCAGCAATTCCATTGTCTATTTTACTGAAGAGCCTCCAGAACTTCCTGCAAATAGCCCTCACCCGCTAAAGCTCCGGCGAATCCTCAACCTGAGCCCCTTCACTGTGACAGATCACACACCAATGGAAACAGTGGTTGATATTTTCAGAAAACTTGGTCTCAGACAGTGTCTTGTCACACGCAGTGGGTGAGTAGAGAGATATGCACAGATGAGCATACAGAAGACCTCTAGCTAGGATGCTAGCCTTTTAAGGGTGAACTGTTGTGCTTGCTCATGAAATGAATTTGATTTTCACAGCTCTTTCCCATCAGAAAACTGAACTGAAGTCTCTGTGTGGTACACAATCACTTTGGACAGCCTTCTTGGATTGACTTACTGATTTAAAAAAAAACTCTCCCAAACCCCCATATTTTCCCACAATAGACAACTAATTACTTGAATGAGGTTGGATACCTCAGGTGGATCTGTATCTGGAGCCAGAGGTTGAGAGTTCAGTTCTCCACTGTGCCTCCTCCAAGTAGAGCCAGCCTGTGTGGCCTTGGGCAAGCTGCACAGTCCCAGGGGTGCCCCCAGAATAATGGAATGGGAAACCACTTCCGAGTACTCTCTACCTGGAAAACCCTGAAAAGGTTTGGCATAAGTCAGTATTGATTTGACCGCACATGATGAGGAGGAGGATGATTCAGTCTAACCAGCTGAAAGAAATAATATGACAGGTTTGTTGTGGGTTGACTGTGGAGGGCTTAATTTGCAAGGGATGAGTAACATTGTCTCCCATTTCATAGCTCTTGGCTGAGCTGGATTTGCATGTGCAAAACATATAGTATTTGTTTTCCTGCTGGGCTGCTTATCAAACAGACAGAAATGCATCCAAAGGGCTTACTTCTGATAACTTGTCTGATGCTGTCAGACATGATCTCGCCAAAGTTGAGCATTTTACCATTCCTGATTCCAATGGGATGAATTTAAGTATGTGTTTGAATGTCTCCCACATAAATTCCTTGGGCTTAATAGTGCTTAGCTTTGGCTGGCTCAGCCCCATTATGTTAGGAAAAAAATATGTCTGCCTAGTGAACAGGGCTGAGAGGCAGAAAGGAACAAGTTCAGGTTTCCATAGGCAAATCTACTTTGAGGAGATGGATGCAGGGGCAGCAGCAGATTAGGTTACACAGGGATGGAGAAATGAATACATATATATGAGAATGGAAATAACAGCAAGACAACACTTTATGTAGTTGTAATTCAAGTCTTTGTTAAAAAAATATTGTGAATTAATCCTTATGAAGGTGGGTTATACAGTTAGGAATTAATTCAGACCCTGAAAATATTGGCTGGAGCTGAATTCTGGTTCATAAAGTTTACCGTACTCCCAGTACACTTGTGTGGTGAAGAAATGGGAAGCTACTCTTACCCAGCATGAGGTGTGGGCAAACCTCAGGCCTAGACAGTCTACGTTTTCCTCATTTGGAACCCTGAGGTCCACTACCTGGATTAAACTGCAGATTAGTGGGAAAGGCAGCAAGGCAGTAAGATTGAAGGGATGTATTCAACCCTAGAAATAATAATGAGTCCAGGAACTTCTTACTTAGGTCCTTGAATCTACTCCTAATTTTCTACCTAGCATTCCTTTTGAAAAATCTGACACAGGAATAGCATTTTAGTAGTTGTTATTGTAGATATTGGAAGTCGAAAATGTTTGCCAATCTACTATGTACCATCCAGCTATGTACCCACTAGATCCTATCTTGCATCTGCCCCATGGTGTACTTCTAGTAGTTATACTCCTGTTTTTGAGGGAGATGAATAATTTAAAGTGTGTCCTCTAAGGGCCTGTCTACACTGTCAAATTTGGTGCAATCTGGACAGTGCTTAAAAGGTCCTTAACTTCAGTGCAATCTATTTTAACTCAAGTTCCCGTCCATGAAGTCAGAACAAAGAGTTATTCTATTTTAACTCAAGTTCCCGTCCATGAAGGCAGAACAAAGAACTATTTATCTGTGAGTATTCTCAGTCATCCAGGTAGGTCACTGGTTCTTAACCTTGAGTTACTCACGAGTTTTGGACTGCAACTCTCAGAAGCCCTCACCACCAGCCATGCTGGCTGGGGTTTCTGGGAACTGCAGTTCAAAAGCATCCGAGTAACAAAGGTTAAGAACCACTGATCCAGGTGAGGTTATCTGGAAGTCGAGTCATGGCAACTGGACTTCTTTCTTGTTACGCCAAAAAACTGGACTTCTTTCTTGTTAGGTTGAGACATCCAAGTAGCTTCTTCAGTCTTGTACCGACTCTTCTCAGGTTGAAGAAGTTACTTGGATGAGTAGCGAGATGTTTCAACCCAACAGAAGATTCCAGCCTCCGTGGGAAAGATACGTGGCCAACTCCTCAAAGGGCGCCGGCAGCTGAAAGGGAAAATCACAGGAAAAACCTTCTATATATGAGTAACAAACGTTTCAACTTAATTAGGAAAAAGTCCAGTTGCCATGACTTAACTTCCAGAGAAGAGCTATTTTGTATCTCAATGAATTGTCCTAAAAAGATTGCATGCCTTAGCCCTGTGGTAGAAAGATAACTGGCAAGCTCTTACGTAAAGGTGAAGGATGTTTTGTTTTAAATAGAAACACAAGCGGACAAGGTCTGTTTTTTGCTATGCCAAACAGTGCCAGAAAGATGCAGCCAGCTTTTAAAGGTGAAGGATGGATTGTTTTAAGTAGAAATACAAGCCAATGAGGTCTTTTTATCCATGCTAAACAGTGCTATCAAGGAACCCTATATCATGACTATATGCCAGTGTGGACAGGCTGTTAGTGACCAGGCATTAGTATGTAGGTCTTGGCTTGCATGTTCATTAGGTAAAGGTAAAGGTTCCCCTTGACAATTTGTCCAGTCGTATCTGACTCTAGGGGGCAGTGCTCATCTCCGTTTCCAACCCATAGAGCTAGCATTTGTCCGAGGACAATGTTCCATGGTCACGTGGCCAGTGCGACTAGACATGGAACACTGTTACCTTCCCACCTTTGGTGGTACCTATCTATCTACTCGCATTTTGCATGCTTTCAAACCGCTAGGTTGACGGGAGCTGGGATGAGCGATGGGGGCTCGCCCTGTCGCATGGATTCAATCTTACGACTGTAGGTCTTCTTACCTTGCAGCACAGAGGCTTCTGCGGTTTAACCCGCAGCGCCACCACGCCCCTCTAATGCATGTTCATTAGTTGAGACCAAACAAGGGCTGGTGCTGTTAAAAACATTTCTCAAAAGTTATTTCTTACCAATGTGTTTGAAAATCTCACCCAACTCCCAATTGAACTCATGCCCACACATTTGCCCCCTTACTCTGTGTGTGTGTGTGTGTGTGTGGATGGGTGGGTGGGTGGTAGGGTGGGTAGGTGTGTAAGTAAACTACATATATAAAATAAATAAGTGCCAGATATATATTAATTTTAAGCTAGTCCAGAAGCCAAGTTTGACTGAGGAGAAGGGCTGCTATCAGAATATCATCGTTAGCAAATGTTTTGCCTGTGTTTTGAGCTTTTAGGCCAGATTTCAATATATCATTAATGATTATGAACATCATGAGATGAATTTACACATGCAGGAAGTTAATGAACAGAGTTTTATTTTTCTACAAACTGGACATGAATCTGACTGGGAAGGTGAGGAATTAAAAATAAGAGACAGAAGTGAACTCAAGTGAAACAGTGACCTTCTGAGGAATGTCGAGTATGTCCCTCTTAAGCTCAAATTGGATTCTGACCAGTCTGCAGGCACAAGGCAGGCCGTGCTGGTGGTGGAGACACTGACATACTTGATTATAAAGAAGATTTTTCAAGGTTGAGTGCTTGGGATGCTTATTTCATAGCTGAAGTGGAAGATGTGTTGGTATTAAGGAGTCATCTCTTAATCTAGTAGCTTTTACTTTTCTGATACTGTGAAAACTCTGTCTGTCCAAGGAGTCAGAAGATTTTTGCTGTACAGAAAAACCTTCATTTTTGTGAGGAAAAAACCCTACTTCTCGAGCCAGCAGAGAAGCCAATTGTAATACTTCTGAAATGAAAAGCCTGCATGCACATACACACACAAAGACATATACAGAAACATACTCTTTTGAAAATCTGGGCTGTTTAAGTGCATGTATATTTTGGAACATAAATATAGGAGCATGTGTTTTAAAATGGGACTGGGGTCACAGTGAGGTGTGCTGTGAGGAGTCAAATGAAGATGGTCCTCTAGGCAAGCACACCCATGCTGAGTTTCTGTAAGTACCACGCCTGAGCTTGAATAAAACCACGCCTTGATCCAGTTTGTTCACATTACCAGATATACTCTCCAGTCCCCATGACAAAATTAGGGAGGAGAGGAGGCATTGTCTAAGTGTGAGATCTGTAGTACTTTATTAAAATCTGTGCTTTTCATTGGAAGATTAGAAAAGAAAATAATTACTAGTTTTTATTTTGTGCTGCATTCCTTCTTTATATATTCTTTTCAAAAACCAGATAATTTGGTCTCTGTTGCAATAATTTGTAGAGCTGCACAATTTGCAACAGGGACCTGGTACAATAAGCCTTGATAATCCAAAGAATTTTGGAAGTGTTTATGGTTTTATTTAATAAACACTTAAGGTTATTCTTATCTCTTCTGAATGAAACCAATGTGCTGGATCCATTCCAGGTGGGCTTCAGGCCGCGCCACGGCACAGAAACAGCATTGGTCACCCTGTTTGGTGACCTACTGAGGGAAGCCGATGGGCAAAATGTCTCTGTTCCTTGATAATCCAAAGAATTTTGGAAGTGTTTATGGTTTTATTTAATAAACACTTAAGGTTATTCTTATCTCTTCTGAATGAAACCAATGTGCTGGATCCATTCCAGGTGGGCTTCAGGCCGCGCCACGGCACAGAAACAGCATTGGTCACCCTGTTTGGTGACCTACTGAGGGAAGCCGATGGGCAAAATGTCTCTGTTGGTCATTGTCACATACAGCACTGATGGTACCTGTCTGTCATGGGTTTGGAGGGAAAGTTCCATCCTATGGGGAGTGGAAGGCGGGACATCAGGGGGGAGGAGCTGTACTGTATATATATTTGGAGCTTGTGTGGAGAAGTGGAGTTGGAGTCTGTGTGTCAGACTGGGTACGACTGTTTGTCAGTTAGTACATACCTGATAGGTTCAGGTTTCTATCTAGGTAGCCAGAACTGATAGGTTCAGGGTCTGTGCGTTACCTTAAAGTGTTCAGTGGGAACCAATCTGTTGTCCTTTGGGTGGGCGTCCCAGACATTAGTTGTCTGGGAAACTCCTTTTCCTTGGGGGTGTGTGTGACTCTTAGCACCAAGAGTTAGGTTTGCAGTTTGAGTGTATATCTGGACCCGGCGCTCACCATGGAGACCCAAGTGTTGTCAGTGGTCCATTCTGTACATTTCCACCTCCGGCGGATTGCCTAGCTGCGTCCCTATCTTGATATGGGGGCACTCACCACTTTGGTTCATGTGCTCGTAGTTCCAAGATTAGACTACTGTAATGCGCTCTACGTGGGGCTGCCTTTGAGACTGACACAGTGGCCAGATTTCTTACAGGGGTGAAAAGGTACCAACATATTTCCCGCACACTGGCTGCCTTGCATTGGCTGCCCATTCATTTCCACGTTGATTTCAGAGTTCTTACGATTACATATAAAGCCCTAAATGGTTTAGGACCTCGATATCTGGCAGAGTGCCTTCTCCCACCCTGTTCTGCCAGAGTCATTCATTCCAGCAGGCCCGGTGGCTGAGGGGCCTAATGCCAAGGGAGGTCCAGAAAGAAAGAACGAGGAACAGGGCCTTCTCAGCAGTGGCCCCTCGCCTTTGGAACAACTTGCCAGTGGAGATTCGCCTGGCTCCCTCTCTGGGTGTTTTCAGGAATAAACTTAAAACTTGCCTATTTGGGCAGGCTTTCCTTCCTGCCATATCTCAATTTCTTACACTTTGCCTGACCTATAATATATGTTTTTGCTTTTATTGTTTTTAAGTTTGTAAACTGCCCAGAGTAGACCTTGGTCTAGATGGGCGGGATAGAACTCAAATAAATAAATGAATGAATGAATGAATGAATGAATGAATGAATGAATGAATGAATGAATGAATGAATGAATGTTAGTTTACTGTTGACAAGCTTTTCTACTGCTTGAATTTTCACAGTTGTAACAACCTGTGACTGAAGCAGAAAAAAAAAACCCTAACTGGATAGTAAACTGGATGAATTACTGAAAAATCGTATCCTTTTTTTTTTAGGAATCTAGACTGGTGTGGGGATTGGGATGTAGAGACACTTTTAGAAAATAAAAAATAAAAAAACCTTTATTTTTAGGAAATATTTTTCTAATTTAATGCAATACATAGGTCACAGTTCAGAGAGACCTTTGGCTACAAATCATTCTAAATACTTTAATCTCTGTAGGTTAAGGCCAAGACTGGGATTTGGATTTTAGCCCTGAATGTCCCAAATTGTTCTTATGTGTAGTTTCTAGAAGATGATGCCAAATGCAACAAATTCTTGTCTGTTAAAGGACCAACTTTGCTTGTGTTCATGTATGCAATCAGAAGGAGTATAGTACGTAATTTATCATTTTGCCGGAGATGGGGGAGAAATAGAATGGAACACTTTGCTTAAAATAATCATAAATCTTTTGTGGTAAGCTTTCTTCAGTAACTATATACTCATTAGTAGAAATCATGACTTTCTAAAATCCCAATTGCCTTAAAAAATAAAAACCAGGAAATTGGGGGGGGGGGAAACACTTTTGAAAATTATTCTGTGCTTTGTAGTGAAGTTCTGCCTTAAGCGGAACTTGAGAAATGGATGAGACAAGCTCATGATTAATGACCTTTTCTGTTTCTTTCCTTCTCTTCTTCTCTAGGAGGCTTCTGGGCATTATAACCAAAAAGGACGTGTTAAGGCATATGGCTCAAATGGCAAATCAAGATCCTGAATCCATCATGTTTAACTAGGTTGGTCCCAGAGGACAGGCAAGGATCTAAACTTTTAAGGAACATTTGCTGGACTAATAGAAGAGGGTTTTGTACAGCACTTCATTTCTTGTGTTAAATTGCAGAGATTTAAATAAATAGAACCATATCAGGGCAGAACCAAAATTTATGACAGAATGCAACATTAGAGAGAGAAGAAGGCAAGATTTTTTCAGAAACTCTGCTCGGTGGCAAATGTTAAATTATTTCTCCTGATTTGGTCTGGGCTACATATTGCTGTTGTCATGGCAAATTTTCCATCCAGCTCAACATCCCCATAGCTAACAGTATTAAACAGCAGTTGCTTTATGATCTGGGACCGTTGTCACATCATTATCTTCCCTGCATGGGTCACTGGAAAACTGTTGAGAGGGAGAAAATTCATTATGTGACAGCACAGAATCAAAATAATACAGTTTAGGAAATGGGAAGCTTATCATGGAGTTTGATCCCTATGGATTAATATATAAGTCTTGGGCAAGTAAATTAATTGCTTGGCTGGTGCATTAACATGTGTAATAGGGGTTCTGTTGGGAACATGGAGGTTTACCACCCCTAACATGATAAGGAGACATGGGGAAATATCAAGAATATTGCTAAGTAGAATTTAATGGCAAATGCAAAATGCAGTGTTCAAGAGAACTGGAAATGAGTCATTTTTTCTCTTTAGTTCACATTTCTAAGGGATTATGTTGACATATTTTCAAGAAATACATGATTTTATGAAGAAATCTGTTGCTTTTTCCTATCTGCTGTAGAAAATAAGAGATGGTGTAGAATCAAAGCCATATTTCAGCTAACTTTAACATGTTTTGGACTCCTAGTTTCATCTTTCTTCAGTTCTCAAGATTAAATCACCATAATGTGATCTCCTGTTAAACTTCTCTCTTCAACATATCAGAAGTACCAAATCCTAGATGTTTTTCACTTTGACTTCCCTTCCCCCCCCCTTTTTTTTTCAGGACAAGGAGCTTGTAAATAGCCACATTACTTTTTTAAGGATCCCCGTTAAGGATCTTGAGGATTTTTGTCATTCAGCTTTTAAAACTCCTAACTAGTATCCATCAAAGTGAATAGTATTTCTTCATTCTCTATGCAAAGGTTGCATCATATTTAGTTTTATCTCATATTGTGCTTTTATAGTAAGAAAGACCTTGTAACTCAATGTTTTCTGTATGATGAAGGCACTTCTGTAATTTCGTTTATTTATTTTCATTGAATTAGTTTGAAATGGTTTGCACTGGCTTGAAGGTTCTGATGTTTATGTTAAATCAAAAGATAATTTTGCACTCTTTGACCTGGGCACATGGATTGTATGAAAAATCTTGTATCTTCACAGAAAGACAGAAGGGTTTTCATTCATGAGATTGTTGTTGTTGTTTACTAGTAGCAAAATGTGAAACAAAAGAATATACTCAGGTATTTAAGGAAGTAGAGACACAGAGACACCAAGCAGTTTTTCTAGTTAAGGACTTTGATCTGAGTGAACTATCGCTCCACCAATATGATGCATACTCTATTTTAAATGGTTTGTGGATAAACTTGCTGATCTATGCATTTGTATGATCTCTGCTGCCTTTGTGGGTATGCTGTGTACTGTGCCAAATAATTACCCTACAGCAACATCCATGACCTTAGAGACCTGGAAACGTAGGCTGGAAAGTAAAGCTGTTTATGACAGCTTTGCAGTGGCATATAAAATATATTGGTACGTGGCAGTCATGGAATTTCATTTCCTTGAAGTATAAGGCCAAGTGTGCAACACAAACGTTTTTTTGCTGATTTTGAGAAGAGAGAAAAACTGACAGATTCCAAAACTTTTAAGGGTGGGATGATGGCGATGACAACAGGAACAGAACTTTATAGACACCTTAGCAGAGCACTTATATATATATTTTCCATGTCAAGGAAGCTCTGTGGAGTCAAGTTATGGAACTGCTATGAGCAGCCTTGTGTCCTTCCTTCCTTGTTTGCAATACAGCAAACCAGTGGAAATGATGCTTTGCTATAGTATCACCTATAATGATAGGCCCCCTTCACCTTCACCATTACTAGATTTCAACCAGTCATCAGAAAAACCACTCCCTGATTTTTACATGGTCCTGCAAAAGTGGAATGTAGGAATATTTGGCCCACCAGGTAAATGAGGCTGCCTGGGCCAGCCAAAAAGGCAGCCGTGTTTCAAGGGGCAGAATTCTATTCATTCCCTCTGTTTGCCCAGTAACCCTTTGTATAAATGTATGGCTGATTTCTGAGCTTGCATAAGAAAGTATTACTTGATACCTCCTTGAGCAAGCTTGGAAATTATCCAGCTGCCTGTACAGTGGAGGCATAAGAGTCTAACCAATGTTTCTTTTATTTTGTTTTTACTACATGGTACGTTTTGTATCTCTCCATATAAAGTTTTCTAAAAGCCAAACAAGACGTAGGAGTGACGTACTACAGGTAACTAAGTAATAATGCATGGGTGAACAGCCTCAGCCGTTAAGTACAGGAAGAGGAAAATTGATGCAGAGATTAATCTGATAAATACTGTATTTCAGAATTAACTTGTGATATATAGTGATACAGTGGTCAAGTTGACAGTACTGATGTGTGTGCTAGTTAATTACTTTTTTTAGTTTTAGTTTTTTAGCCCACTATTATATTACAAAAAAGCACAACATTGCTTACTTATTTAAATTTATTTATATTGGATCTTTCAACCTCCAAAGTTCCCAGAGCAGCTATGAAAAATGCATTAAAGATTTTGCTGAGAACAAATAACCTTGTTTCTTCTTGGCCATACACTTGGAATTATCCATTAATAATTATCTCTCTTTTTTCCATATTGCCTATCACAGGGCAGCTTGATGAAAATCCCATTCTTGAACATCTATTTTTTGCACATCTGAATTACAAACATTTAACAAAAAGACTGACACACCTAGTTGCAAGTTCACATATGCAGATAGAAATTGTGCATACTAACCACGGTATGCACAAAGTCTTGGTACATGCTCATTAACAACAGGTTTTACATTTATGTGGTACTTACTTTGAATAAATATCAATAAATGTTGGTGCTGCCTATGTTACATTAGACACCACATTATTATCATTTTATTTTATTCATAGATTTTATTTGTATTTTATTTTATTTATGCATTGCTCCTCTGTTGAAACAAAATGCAAAAGTATAGTACAAAGTAAAAATGGCAATAAAGCTCCTGATTCCCAGTATACATTTCCTTTAAAGATTTTTTTCTAAAAGATATAAATGTCATTTTCTTTTACATTTTACAACTTTTTGACCAGCCCGGATGCCCGACTTACTGGAAGCCTCAGTTTGTGGCATGGAACATAGTGTAATTAATTAATTAAATTTTATTTATTTATTTATTTATTTAATTTATATGCCACCCACACTACCCAAAGGTCTCTGAGCTGCCCATAATCTTTTCTCCACCTGCTGAACATTCCCATAGCTTTGGCAGCTATAACTGGATTCCATGCACCAGCCAGGCATTCAGATCAGAGCCTGGAGGCAGGAGTTTGACAAGCTGACTGGAGGGAGGAAGTCTGTCTCCACGCTATAAATGAGATTCCCTGATCTCTTTAGCTCAGTTGTCTGTTGAATTTTCGCACTCACCCTTCCCCAGATGCAGATGTTATTCATGGACCTGGTCGGCAGGAATTAAATTTTGAGGTTCTGGTGGTTAGCAAGGATTATTGTTGAGCATATTTCTGTAAATTTTTTGCTTTTTTTGTCACAGCTTTGTGAGGTTAGGTTCTCTGAGCATAAGACTGGGTCTAATTCAGAGGAAGGTGCAGATAGGCCCCATCCCAGGATGGTGATCTTAATAGGAAGGCCACCTGGTGGAGAGGGCCAGGGGTATGTCAAGCTCTGAGGGTGCACTCTGGGTCTTCACACTAATGGCAAGAGGATCCATACAGTGGTTTTGCACCTATGTGTTGCCCATCCTTTCTGTCACTCCATTGACTTCCTGGCATGAGACAGAGGGCACAGGTTTTGGCAGATAAGCTATGCAGTGCTTGGATCTGGTGCTTTATGATGTACTCAAACTATTTCTGCTGTAAATCAATGAAGTTGTGGCCATCACTTTATCCATCTTTCCAAAGAAACTCTGTACAATATGTTGTTTATTAGGGAATCAGGCAACTGAGTTTCCAAGCATGTTATTTAGGCCCACGATTAAATTTCACACTGAAGGCAAATGATCTACCTTCTCCCTGAATTTACAGTTGATATAATCTGTGTTCTGATTATTGAGAAAGAAATTTTCATTGTATTGTATCTGAACATTGTGAATGAATGTCTTTTGGTTTTTGTTTAATTAGATTTTGGTTGTAAGTACGATCTAGTCCGTTCGTTCGTTCGTTCGTTCGTTCGTTCGTTCGTTCGTTCGTTCGTTCGTTCGTTCGTTCGTTCGTTCGTTCGTTCGTTCATTCATTCATTCATATGCTGTCTTTCTCCCAAAGGATCCAAGGAGGCTTCCAGTTTTTAAAAGAAACAAAGTTAAAAGCTAAATAATAAATTATTACAATATTTTTAAAAAAATATTGAACAGCTATCATATTAAACATTCATAATAAGAACAATATTAAAAACACAGAATACAATTCTCCCTTTTAAATCCCCTTGATCAACCAGCCATTTAAAGAAAAGCCTCCCTGAAAAAAAGGTCTTCATCTAATTGTGGAAGGGCAGCAGAAATGGGGCCAGCCTGGCCTCCTGTGGGAGAGAGTTCCAGAATCTGGGAGCAGAGCAGCAACAGAGAAGGCCCTCTCCCCATGTCCCCACCAAATGTTTCAGTGTAGGTGGTGGAACTGAGAGAAAGGCCTCTCCTGATGACCTTATGAAGGGAGATAGAGTCCTTGAGGTGGATTTGGACCTAAGCCATTTGTAAGCTAGTAAGGAATGAATTTTTACTCAAAATGATATTGTTATATTTTGCATCCTTCAGTTTATGAATGGAAAGCTTATGTTTATGTTAAATGTATGTTACTTTGTGTGCACACATGGTCTTTCTTTTATTTACATGCATGAGAAATTAAAAATTTGAAACTCATGTTTCAAAGTTTAATTTGAAAACTTGAATTTAAATACTGGGGGTTCACTGGCACCTTTTACTGACTTGATATTTACAAATTTCAGCCATAAGCTCTCAATTCTTAAGCATTAATTACAGTCACACAATATTTTTTGCCAAACCCTGTCAGATTTTTTTTTTTTAAATCAGATTCAGATATTGCCATGTATTAAAAACCTACCACCAGGCTTGTACTAAATAGGAAATACTGTACTGTATAGTTAAATATGATATTCAAAGTGGTTTTCAATCTATATGCTGGAGGATCCAGGGAGCCGTACCGGAGTACCTGAAGAAAATCAGTAATGACATACAGGAAAGTTTGCTAGCCGCTACATATATTCTGCCACTGGTACACTAAAGGGAATCTTGAGTGTTGGGTCTTTTGCCCTCTTAATTCACAGCAGGAGATGGTAAAGCCCTCAAACCTGACTTCTGCAATCTTCTGCAACATGCAGAGGCTGGAAAGCAGGTGTACAAAGCTTCTTTGGCAGGCAAGGCAATGGTAGAAAAATGGTTCCCTGGATGTTTGAAAACCACCGTATTAAAGACACAACTGCATATTGAATAGGAAAATGGTCAGATACTGTCTCATCTCAATCCTGACCTATTGAAATGAGATATCTTTTCTTCATATAGCATGATGTGGAGTATTTGACATAAAAGTTCACAAAGGAGAATTTTGAGAGGAAAAACTCAACTCTGATACGTGCAGAGAATAATAATATATGGATTGTTAATAAATATGTAACTAACTGAGAAAAGTTGAAAGCATTTTTTCTTGTGTTACTAGTTCCAGCATTAGATGTGATCCAGAGCCTCCTGTGCCCAACTCCTTCTCTGATAGGCTGGGAGCACATGTGGGATTCTGACTTTGACTCTCAGAGCCTTTAGTTTTGCATACAGATGTGGAATTGACTGCAAACAGACTCTTAAAGATGGTGGACATTAAGCATGCATTTCAATGGGATATTTGAGAAGGTTACAAAACTCCTTTGCAGGTGCTTTTTCCTCAGTTAACACCTGGTGTTTTTTTTTGTTGGTTTCCTTTTTTAAAATCATCATACCATCCAACAGCATACCTTAGAATTTCTGGGAATGAAGAAATCTTAAGGAAGGAAAAAAGGAAGGTGGGGATCTGTGCTGCATTTATTTAATTGATCCTGAAGACTGATTAACTTAAGAATTAGGTTGGTCAGATAAAAGTGTAGTATTTATTTTACACTGATTTCACTGCATTAAATGTTTTCTAATCTTTGGAAATGGAATGAAATGATGTAAGACCAAATGGGTGAATAAATATTTAATAATGATTGATGAAAAAAATGAGCATGTGATTTTGTGTTCTTTTGTTTCTGATGAAACCAACTAAGAAAATCATTACCATCATCATCACCACCACTATCTTAGAACTGCTGGATAGCTTGTTGATTTAGGTATCTTGCTGCCAGTCAGAGGTTGGGAGTTTGATTCCCCACTGTGCCTCTTTGAAGGGGCCGGACTCATTGATCCATAGGGTCGCTTCCAGCTCTACAGTTCTAAAATTATTACTATACTGTATATACCTGCAGAGCTGGAAGGGAGCTTATAGATCAATAAGTCCAGTCCCTGTCAAGCAGGCACAGTGGGGAATCAAACCTCCAACTCCTGACTCTGCAGCCAGATGCCTAAACCACTGCTTAAAAATTATGGAACCAAGGGAGAAAACATAAGATTTTACTTTTCATTAGTAAAAGCACGGTTTCATTAGCAGGGTTGTGAATTCCATAGTGATCAAATTTATTTATTAGAAAAACTAATATAATACATTTTTGTATAAGAAAGGATGAAAACTATCATATAAGTCAATACATAAAACCTGTATTTCTATTTAATTTAATATCCCGCCTATCTGCTCGGGTGAGGACCACTCTAGGCGGTTAAATATGTTTTTAAAATGCATTGACTCAGCCCAGTCCATTGTGTATACACCTGGAATAATCTCCACTGAGCCACAGGACTCTTCTGTGTGTTCATAGCTATTCATTGAATCAGGCCTCTGTGGAGAAAAGAGGCCGTAAAGGAAAACGTAAGTCATCCTTCTTTT